AATGGCCTTATTTACAAAACAAAAGCGCCTGTTAACAGCTCATTATAGGATGTTAGCTAAAATCCTTCAGGTCACTCGACCCGTCTCTGGGTTCCAAAGGTAGAAATGTTAAATGACCCTTCTCTGGGACTTCTAGTGTTAAACCACAGGATTAATGTGTTTAGAAGTGCTCACTTATTACGCACCTAAAATATGGTGCAGAGCAGATGATGTATCTCTGAGATACAGCTTTTGGAATAATCTAGGGGCCGCACGGGAGTCACATATTAAACCACAATATCAACGTGTGTAGAAGTGCTCACTAATGACGCACAATAAATCTGGTACAGATCGGATGATGTATCACTGAAATATAACTGTAGGAATAATGTAGGGACGCTGTGGAGGCTATTGGCCACTTATCATGGATTCCTGTTCAAAGGGTGGATAATGATCGATCATCATTTGGTGCACCACGGCTTCAATCTGTGCAATTTAGAGCCAAACGTATTACAACCGTGTCACTTCTTAATTCTCCATGCCGCCACACCCACATCCTCCAGCCAAAATGGTTTGCGCTTTAACACAAGTCAGACTAACTTGTTAAATGTCTTCTAACACAGATTCATCCTGATTGTCAAGGTTGTCAGAAAGGGAGCATTCAAAGTAAAAAAAAAAGACTTCTTGTTCTGAGGGGGCGGGGCTTTGATGACGTCAGAATATTACCACCGAGGATCATCTGGCATTCAACAGGGATGACTCCTGCCAAACTCCTGTTTGTTGCATTTCGGTCTTTCAACATGAAAGTTATAGTGTTTGGAAATTAACGGCATGAAGCAAAACTTTGAGGCCTGGCCACGCCCCTTTAACATATAAGAAAACGCAAGCTTTTAATAAGTTTTACTCCCCAATGTATTAAGGGCATATTAACCAAGTTTGAAGGCAATCCTTCAAAATCCCTATGAGGAGTTTGTTAAAACTTGCAATTAGCAACACCCACAAATGACCCTTTGACCCAAAATGGCTGACTTCCTGTTGAATGTGGACCACGGCTCCAAGAAACTTTTTCATAGGTCCTGAAAAGATACAGATGTTCACAGAGTTTCAGAATTATTGGTCATAAATTGGCTTGGGGTTGCAGTTTTAAAATATTGTAGGGGCACTGTGGAGGCTACTGGCTATTTATCATGGATTCCTGTTCAAGGTGTGGATAATGATCGATCAAACTGATTTTGGTGCACCTCGGCTCAAATCTGTGCAATTTAGAACCAAACGTATGGCGACGGCGTCATGTCTTACTTCACCATGCTGCCATGCAGCCCACATGCTCCACCCAAAACTGTCAGTGTTGGAAAGCAAGTTACACCAACATGTCTTCGGTCACTGGACACACTATCATGCTGATTAGATCACAAGGGTCAGATAGGGAACGTTCAACGTAAAACTTTACACTTCCTGTTCTCAGGGGGTGTGGCTTAAGTGATGTCATGATTTTACCATTTAGTCTTGCAAAGGACCGGATGTGGATCAATCACTGAAGGTATAATGTCTCAGACAGTTTTCGTGTATGAGCTCTTAGTGTTTCATTTTTCATGGCGAGATGTCAAACTTGGAGTTCTGGCCCTGTCTCTTCAGCACGCTCCGAAACGCACCGTTTCGGTAACTTTTCGTTCCCCATGTCTTATGAACAAAATGGTCAAGTTTGAAACCGATTGAGCGAAATCCCTAGGAGGAGTTTGTTCAAATGCATAGGCTGTAAACCTCCAAAAAGATATGACATTTGGGACCTTGATCCAAAATGACTGCCTTCCTGTTTATTGTACAGCGTTGGTGCCAGAGGGTTTTTATGTGAATCTTGGGGAGTAGGACAAGTGTACCAAATTTCATGCTTGTATGACAAAATAAGTTTAATGCGAAGGGTATTTTGAAAATTTCCAGGTGGCACTGTTGAGCCGTTTCTGTAGCAATTTTTGCGACGCCCTTAAAATATGTAATTTTCATGCAGTCCTGAAGCATCCGCCAAATTTGGTGAGTTTTCAGATATGCTTAGGCCTCCAAAAGGCCAATTCATTTGACAGAAAAATTGCTGCTTGGGCCTAATGAACAGAGCGATTACAATAGGCCTTCGTAGCGCTTCGCAGCTCGGACCTAATTTTCTAGGTTACCAATTAATGACCCTGACCAAATACAGTAGTTTAAATACTACTTTTTAATTTGGAAACAGAGTCTGTGAATCAAATGTACACTGCATAAGTAATACATGGTTTCTCTTCAATGTTCTATTAGGCTGTCACTTTAGCTCGTTCAGTTGGTCCAGGACTGCTCAGGGAATATCCCTATAGAGGTTCCCGAAACTGGGTCTATGATCCCACTAAAACATCTCCATATAAATCATTTTATATTGGCTAGTGAGTTGAAATACACGTCTATTTTAATGATGTACACAGAAAAAATACCCAGAATTTTATTCATCTGCCTTTTTAAAATTTTGATTAGTGTAAAAGCAGCTAAATATACTTTTTTGTTTGATCAAAGTAAACTTTCATTCATAAATGATTTTTAAAGCAATAATAATAAGCTGATAGTACTTATATATCAAACTCTGTCAAATTTGGGGACATGCATGAAGAATGTTCCTCTCAACTGTGATGCAATAGCTTACTCTGTCTTTTGACAACTCAGGTTATAATGAAAATATACATCAAAACGTTGTTTTAATTTCCATTTAATTTTTGGATTGGTAAATTTGATGGCCTACACGTGAACTAATTTCAGGCTTCACCACTGCAATCTACAATCATCTTGCAGAGGTCGGACGCTTTTCCCCTCCTCTCCCTCCTCCGCTTTGCTGCTCTGTCCTGTCTGTAAAACTGCTTCTGAGCCTCTCTCTACATATCATCTGAACCATAATTTTGTGGATCTGGACAGTTGGTCTCTCAATGTAATGGACAAAATTTTTGAGACAAGCTTCAGACGAGCTGAACTGCCTGGACGACATGTTCTTCTGTTGATTGAGGATGCCGAAACTGCATATAATTGGATTTATAATAACAGGTTTTCTGTTTTTGGAATTGTCTGGTTCCTAATTTATCAACATACAAAGAAGATGGTTGCAGCTAATCTGGCCTGGTCAGGCTGTCACCTGTGTGAAGGTTTGCTCAGTGTCTCATGCACCCAGACTCTATTGCTTAGCGGACTTGATCGCAAATTGGATGTGATTTGTGAGAATCACAGGCCATATGTGGCCCTTGGGACTCACTGCCAGGATAGATCACATCTCGGGGAATATTCTCAGGCACAGATCAGTGGTGTGTCCACTTAATTTGGACCTTTCGGAATCTACATGAGACCAGCAAAGACTCGATGCAGATAAAAATTAAAGTTCTGCCTGACTGCAAAAACAAATGTTGTTTATCTGAATTTGGCTCCCTTGGCTGGCCTTACAGGCCACCTTATCTCAATCCTCCTGGAAGACGTAATCTGACGCTCTGCCCCCCCTTCCTCCCATCAAGGAATTCCACTGATCAACCTGAAGAAACCAGCCGAATAAACATTGTGTCAGCATTTCAGGACTCTTGGATTCTCATTGGCGTTGTCGTTGGCCATTCCCCGACATCCCTCGAGAATATTTACGGATCTCACAGGAGGAAACTGGCTGATTATTACATAATTATCAGAACTCCATTAGTACCCCTGAGAGTGTCCTTGGACATCCTCACTGCCCTTGTCACCCCCCCCCCCCCCCCCACAAGGAAAGTCGACATCACCATGTGCTTGTATGTATGTGCGAGGATGTTTTTTCAATATCAGAGTCTTTCTTCTCAGCCAAGAAGAAAGAGTTTGATAGAAATATTTTTTTGCCTCTAATTCTTACATTCAATTCAAATTCAATTCAAAAATACTTTATTAATCCCAAAGGGAAATTATTTTGTTGTTGTAAGTCGTTATTCTCATTTTAATAAGAGATGTTATAGATAGTGATGGCTGTAGACAGGAAGGATCTCTTGTAAAGGTTCATCCCACAGCGGATCCTAAAAAACTGGCTGCAGATGCCGTCCGATCCGTCCACCCAGACTCGGCTGGCTTCTTGGTTTGAGAAGGGGTTATTTAGTCGGTTCCCCCGGGCTGTAGGACCGCCCGAATGCCGGGCAGAACTCCTCCCAGCGCGATGGCCACTCCTCCCAGCGCGATGGCCACTCCTCCCAGCAGTCCGCCGAGCTCCTTGTTGCTGCGAACAGCCATCTGTAGGTGCCGAGGGACGATCCTGTCCTTCCACTGTCATGAGCTGTGTTTCATGCTAGTTCCAGGATCTCAGTGGTCAGGCACTCAAGCACAGCTGGCAGGTTGATGAGAATGCATCCACAGAACATCCTTTTCAACTCATTTGAGATTTGGGGCTGTAGCTGAGATATTATTTGAGCTTTTGAGATGTTAATCAGCTGCTGTTGGTTGTAGAAAACTGCCTTGTTGCCATGGTTACACATCAAAACAAATGTCCAAAACTAAAAAAGTTTCAGTAAAAATCCTTCCAGCTGCACAGCATCTGATACCAGAGGAAACAATCACCCAAAAAATGTGACTTACATCCAGAAAAGGAGGAATTAAAGTTTCCTAAAGCAAAATCTCAGAATGAAAGTAACAGAGCTGCTCCAACATGCAGCCACCTGGAGCGGTGCAATTCTAGAACTCACCATGTGTCCAGTTTCACTACTTCTTTGTCTGTCTAAACAAATCTCACTTGTAAATGAGTCTTTGAGGCTCAATGTAATTTATATGTCTAGATAAAGGTTGAATTGAATTTAACTTATAGAAAAACTTTTATAAATATGGACAGAAGTTCCTCATATTGGATGAATGATGCCACCCAACAGTCGGACAAAATGACAACTTCTGGATACAAAGTGAGGGTACTATTTGTAGGAAAACAATTTGAACAACATTCTTTAGAATTGGGCTTAGAATAGGCAACCCCCCACCCCCAAGATACCAAAACACCTTTTAAAACATGTATATTCTCATACCAGGACACTCTCCAAGGAAGCAGTCCACAGTCTCCATATACTGTCCCCTGCACTCAGAGCCTCCATACGATGGGTTGTTGCACTCCCTGGTTCTCTGCATAGTCCCATTAGAACAGGAGACTGAGCAGGAACTCCAGCTGGACCACTCATTCCAGAATCCATCCACTGACGATTGACAGGGTCACAGCCCCAAAGACACAGCAAAGACAATGGATTATGATAAAACACTTATTTTGTCATTTTCCATTTTTGGCTTTGTGTGCTTGCCTCACCTGGACATACAGCTATGTTACAGAATTTGGTCTGTTTCTCTGGTCCATCACAAGGATCTCCCCCAAACTGTGGGGGTGCACAAGTTCGTGTTCGAGACCTGTAGCCTCTCCCACAGGTGGATGAACACAGGCTCCATGGTGACCACTCATCCCACACAGCGTGCACTGCAAGTAGAGCAGCTAATGCTAAAATTAATCAGATAAACACAGGACCTCAGAAAGCAAAAGAACAACAGGGAATGACTTCATAGGGGAACTAAAAAATAATACACTCATTACTCTGCTGTCCTTTTTCAGAAATTATAACTGAACCACAGCAAATACTTTTGTTGGTCATGAGGATAGGAGTAAACAAAAACGCAAATCCCCTGCATCTCTATTCGTCTGAAATACATTATCTTTGGGTCAGGTAAGGTCAGGAAGAAGATTAGGAATGTGCTGAAAGGGAATGGGACAAGGTGAATGCAGGGGTGGGGGCTTACCTGGACAAACAGCTGAGTTGTTACAAGGTCTCTGCTCTCGCAGTGGCCCACTGCACTGGGTGCTGTAGGAGGAGGACACACAAAAACGAGTGCGACTCTGCCAGCCCTCCCCACATGTGGCAGAACACACATTCCACGCTGACCATTCCTCACCTGAAGTTGAGTCTACTAGGGAAGAGGGGGCAAGTAAAGAATGGAAGGTTGGGGAAGGGGAAGAAAGGAGAAAAAGGAAATGGGGCATAGCTAATTACCATGCAGGACAACATCTCTGTACAGGAAGGGCTGTGATGCCTCTAATGGTAGATTCTATCTGTGCCACACTTTAGAGACTGCCTTCATCAAATAATTAATATTTCCAGAAAGATGAATGGAACTGCTATTCTGCAAAAATTAGTCTAACTGACACATAGGCATTTATTTACTGAAATTGTGTTCATCTGCCCCCCTATTAAAATGCTGTGATTGCTAGTATCACTCAGCCCTCTGTGAACAGTAAACAGCCATCAGGTGCTAATGATCCATTGTTAGGCTGATGGTCCTTCTTGAGCATGTGATCAGCTGGTTCTGGTTGTCAGCAGCAAAACTGGTTGATCCACTCTGAGAAGGTGCTATTTAAGAGACTGAGCTGAAAACAGCACCTCAGACTGAGGAAGTCTTTCGGATGAAAGACGAAATGTTTCTACTTTTTTTGTTTGTTTTTGTTTTGTTTGTAAATAAACACAACTTGAACTTGGCCTTGAACTAGGAGAGACCATATCTCTCCAGTTTTAACTTCTCTCCATTGGCTCCCTGTCAAGTCCACAATTGAATTCAAAAATCTTACTTCTAACATACAAAGCTCTCAACAATTTAGCTATGTCTTATATTACAGATCTTATTGTTCCATATTTTCCTAACAGAGCACTTCACTCTCAGGCTGCAGGTTTACTTGTGGTTCCTAGAATTTCAAAAATCAGAATGGGAGGCAGATCTTTCAGTTCTCAGGCTCCTCTCTTGTGGAACCAACTTCCAATCTCTGTCCATGAGGCTGACACATTATCCAGTTTTAAAACTAGACTTAAGACTTTCCTTTTTGATAAATCCTATAGTTAGGGTTGGCTTAGATTTCCTGAGCTGTCCCTTAGTTCTGTTACTATATGCCAAGACTGTTGAAAGACAAACTGAACACAGTTCTTCACTCTACTTCTGTTTTTACTTACTCTACCTGTTTTGTATTTGTAATTTTTTTTTTCTATCCTTGATATGTATTTTTGCCTTCCAGGTACATCTGCACCTACACCTGCCATTCTGTTTGTTTCTCCTTTCTGTCCTCTCAAACCCAGTCGGTCGAAGCAGATGGCCACTCAGATGGTCTGGTTCTGCTGGAGGTTTCTTCCTGTTAAAAGGGAGTTTTTCCTTTCCACTGTCTCCTTTGTGCTTGCTTAGGATGGGAGACTGACCAAGTGAAGATTCAACGTGTCTGTTGGCTTTCTTAGATAGAGAACTTTTACTAATTGGCTTTTATGTATGTGAATGTTTCTGCAGTGCCCTGAGACAACTTCTGTTGCAATTTGGTGCTATATAAATAAACTGAATTGTGATCTGGATTCAAAAACCTTTGTTGTCAGAGAAAACAACTGATGTTGTTGTGCACACAAATTGTGAAAAATGTCATAAAACCTGTTAACCTGTTACCTGAAATCCAATTCAATTTCAGTTAAATTAAATTTAATTTTATTTATGTAGCGCCAAGTCACAACAGAAGTCATCTCAGGGCACTGAACAGAAAAATCCATATATAAAAATAATAATTGAACATTATTTATCTGAGGAGCAGACTGCTTTGAGTTTAACTCCATCACTGAACTCTCATCCTGAGCAAGTATGAAGGTGACAGTGGAAAGAAAAACTCCCTCATGAGGAAGAAACCTTTAGCAGAACCAGACTCAGGACAGGCGGCCATCTGCTTAGAGCGGCTGGGTTTCAGAGGAACAGATACACAATGGCAGGTCAAGAATCACATGTAGTATCAAATGGAAACTATTTAGTTTTAACAATTAATTTAAGGAAATGACGTCAATTTGTCCTCCAGTAGTCTTAAAAAAGCACAACAAGCCAACCCTAACTATAGGACTTATCAAAAAGGAAAATCTTAAATCCAGTCTTAAAACTGCCGAATGTGTCAGCCTTACGGACAGGATCTGTAAGTTGGTTCCACAAGAGATGAGCCTGATAACTGAAATATTTTCCTCCCATTCTGCTTTTGGAAACTCTAGGAACCGCGAGAAAACCTGAAGTCTGAGAGCGAAGTGCTCTATTAGGAAAATATGGAACAATAAGTTTAGGTTAGGTTACTTTATTTATATCTAAGGGTAGATTTGGTCACATTTAAGATCTCAAATAAAAGATGGAGCTAGGTTGTTGAGAGCTTTGTAGGTTAGAAGTAAAATTTTGAATTCAACTCTGAACTTGAAACGGAGCCAATAGAGAGAAGCTAAAACTGGAAGACTCTGGCAGCAGCATTTTGGATCAACTGAAGACGTTTTAAAGAAGTATTTGGACACCCAGATAACAAACCATTGCAATAGTCCAGTCTAGACATGACAAATGCATGAACCAGTTTTTCTGCATCATTTTTAGATCAGATGTTTCTAATGTTAGTGATATTACGCAGTTTGAAGAAGGCGGTTATAGAAACATTTTTAATGTGGGGGATAAAAGACATGTCCTGATCAAAAATAACAACAAGATTTTTAACATTAGAACTGGAGGACAGATTATTGCATCTAAGGAGGGAGAAAGACTGAAAAATTAATTCCTAAGGTGCACAGGTCCAAAACCTAAAACCTCAGTCTTGTCTGTGTTCTAAAGCAGAAAATTAAGGGTCATCCAGGTTTTAATGTCTTTAAGACATGCTTGTAGTCTAAGTAGCTGATTGGATTCATTGGGTTTGTGTGTACCATCAGCATAACAATGAAAATGTATCCATGCTGTTTAATAACTTTACCTAATGGAAGTATATACAAGGTCAAGAGTATTGGTCCAAGCACTGAACCTTGAGGAACTCCCTGATTAACTTTGGTGTATGATGAAGATTCATTATTTACATTTACCAATTGAAATCTATCAGATAGATATGATTTAAACCATTTTAGAGCTGTTTCTGTAATCCCAACATCATATTCAAGCCTCTGTAGTAAAATATTGTGATCAACTGTATCAAACGCAGCACTGAGGTCTAACAGGACCAGTATAGACACAAGTCCATTGTCTGAGGCCATGAGAATATCATTAGTGACTTTTACTAGTGCTGTTTCTGTGCTATGATGAGCTCTAAACCCTGACTGAAACTCTTCAAACAGATTATTTCTTTGTAGATGTTCACGCACCTGATCTGCAACTATTTTCTCTAGAATTTTTGAGATGAAAGTTAGATTAGATATAGGTCTATAGTTGGCCAGAATTCCTGAGTCAAGGTTATGTTTTTTAAGTAAAGGTTTAAATCTGTTTTCAAATGTAATAAAAATAATTTTCTTGTTGGTAGTTGTTCTGAGCCTTTGACTTGATCTATAAATCAGGTCTAGACCTTTGACTAAACTGTGAGAACCCCACATAATTGCCATCTTATCTGGGAGGACAGACTTCTAATGCTTTGTCCAAATTCACTTTTTGACCCCATTTCAAAAAAAGGCAGCCTCTGAAATGGACCTCAATTTTCTGGGAGCTTATTCTTTGTCATCTTTAAGTTTTTGACACAATTTCTTTTGCATTAACTGTAATTAGAAAAGAATGCCACTGCCTAGGGATGTCAGGTATCTTTTTTCTTCCAGAGACTGCTAATTTAATGGGTCACTGAACAAATAAAAAAAAAAAAAAAAAACTGGGCTGCAATGGGTGGGTAAGGAAAGGGACAAATCTAAACAGGAACCAGGGAACTGATAAGTAAAATAAAGGGATGCTTCACTCAAAGTATGTTTATTTAGAAAGATTCAAACCCTATCATTGTGTAGACTTGGACCATTTAAACTACTAGCTGAGTTACAAATTTCGTTTGAAACAAATTTCTTCCTTAAACAATCAGAGTCAGAGTCAGAGATTCTTTATTGTCATTCGCACCTCATGTGGTACATGTGGTGGAGCGAAATTATGTACACAGGGTCCCAGTTACATCCAACAATAAAATGTAAAAGAAAAACAATGATAACATCTAAGATATGAATGTAGTGAACTTGACCTGATGTCAAAACTAAGCCTAAGGTCAAAACCCTTGACCTTAAGAACCTTGTGGGACAGAAACTGTCATTTCATTGATTTGAATCCAGAAATACAGGTTCACCCATCCTGAGACTTTCTTTCTTGAAAATTCAAGTGAAAGAACACTCTCTTTTCTATTATCATTCCTGTTTTACAAATGTTGATAATCAAAGTGTCTTAGTTCAAACCATTTTAGATGTTGCAGTGAACTAATCAATTTTATTAACTGTGAAACAGTGTAATGATTTTTTAATCCTCATGCAAAGTTAGAATTCATGTTAAGGCCTGTTACAGAGTAATCATGCATTTTCTGATTTGCTGTCTTTGAATGAGCAAGTGTAAGTTTTGTCCAAGGTCGGAGCCGAAGCAGACAAGTGTTGGAACATCTGTCTTGTTTTTAAATCCTCTCAGACGTAAACAGAGGAGTTGGCACCTGTTTCTCCAAACTCGCCAAAACATTTCTCTCGCCTGTCTGGGAACATTTTCAATCTGTTCCAATAACATTCTTGCTGTTTTCTGACTTCTAGTAACCTCTTACATCACAAAACACACCCCTGTCTGGTTGATATTGACCAATCAGGAACGCTCAAATATACCGGAAATAGAGCTCTTTAAAATGCCGGTACTTCCTAGTTCTCTCAGCGCGGAGAAGCTCTGTGATGATCGCAGCTCCAGTCGTTTGGGAGAACAGAAGTCCAGTCATGATAAGGCTCTTCCGAGTTTTATGGGATTATAGTACTTCCACCTCTGGGTGGAACTCTGACGGACTCCACTCATGTGAAGTCCACTTGCTGAGGTGAGCTTGTGTTGGACGGAATATC